CATCAAGGCTTCGCTGTACCAGGGACATGATGAGGGACCCAATCTGGGTCTGTTAGAACAGGAGGAGAGAAGCAAGCAGCCAGGAGGACTACCTCGGGTGGTACATCAGTGCCTTCAGGTTGCCTTTATTTTCAGTGAAGAGCCACATGCTCTGCAAGACACAGAGCTGGAGGTGGTCCCGATCTCACACGGAGCACGAGGTGGCCTCCACCTCTCCCGCAGCTGCAGAGCAGTGCCCAGGTGGCCAAAAAGGCCAACGGCATCCTGGCTTGTATTAGAAATTTTGTGACCAGCAGAAGAAGGGAGGTGATTGTCCCTCTGTGCTCAGCACTGGTGAGGCCGCACCTTGAGTGTTGTGTTCAGTTTTGGGCACCTCAGTACAGGAGAGATATCGAGGTGTCACCCCCCCAGCTACTCCTGTCTGAAGATGTTTGGTGGGCTTGGTTGTTTTTTTTTCAGGGTTCTCTATGCTTTATAAAAAGGCAGTAAACAGCACCCAGAAGCTGCTTTGCTTCTAAAGCATCTCTTAAAACTCTTGGTTCTGACTTGTTCTGCATGGAAGACATCATCTGGTCTCTTCTCACAGGTTATTAGGGATAGAACCAGGGGGAATGGTTGCAAGTTGCAACAGGGCAAGTGTAGGCTGGACATTAGGAAGAAATAGAGTGGTGAGACCCTGGAACAGACTGCCCAGGGAGGGGGTTGAGTCGCCATCCCTGGATGTGTTCAAGTGTCGTTTAGATGGGGTGTTGGGTGATGTGGTTTAGGGGTGAACTTGTAGTGTAGGGTCAATGGTTGGACTTGATGATCCCAAGGGGCTTTTCCAACCCGAATTGTTCTAGGATTCTATGACACTGCCCAGCCAAGTTCATACCTAAATCTGGACAGAAGGACTTTCCTTTCCCACAGGGTTTCTGAATGCCTGGGTAACACATTTGGCGCTATTTCAGAAAACCAAAGGGGGAAAAGGACAAAGGAAAATAAAGTCTGTGATAGAGATAAAGTAGCAGACAAAGCGAAAACTAAGCAGGCGCATATGTAGGAATACTAGGAATGAACTAACAGTCCTTTTAAGGATGTACCGCACAACAAGATTCATTGCAGATTGCTCTAAATATTTGGGATTTGTTTAAGAAACACACTCTTAGTCACTTCTTCAACACAGTGAAGAGGAACGCATGTTTCGGAACCGCCACCCCCAGGCAGGCTAAGTCTGGCCCGTGATGGCAGCAGCTGCCTCACTGACCTGAACCAAAAGAGAAGAGCATACTGTCTTGTAGCAGCCAGTAATCAGTGTTGGAGGAGAAAGGAGAAAGGAGAAGAAATGCAGTTTACTTTCAATCTGTGGGCAACAGCTCAAGCTCAGTAGCTGAACACACAACCCAAGTAAAACTCAGCCGTGAAGTGCCAGGAGAGGGAACGTTTCAGCAAGTACTGGAGCGTAAACCCAAACTCCGAATGCCAGGAAGGTTTTTTAAGTGACGACCATTTTCATAGAATGGCCTAAGCTGGAAGGGACCTTAGAGATCATTTAATCATAGAATCATAGAATGGGATAGGCTGGAAGGGACCTTAGAGATCATTTTAATCCAGGCTCCCTGCCGCCAGGGACGCCACCTCTCGACTAGATCAGGCAACACATGGGGACAGAACAGGAACTGAACCCACGACCTTGGCGTTGTTAGCGCCACGCTCACCTGACTGAGCCCCCTAATCCATTCATATTATTTAACTCCGCTGCAACCAACTTCACCAACGGCAACACCGCTCTCCTTGCACACCAGTTCCCTGTTCTTTGACACAGATACCACAAGTTACCGAAAAGACAAAGCAGCTTAATTTTAAATTGACATCAGCTTCTCCCTGATCCCCAAGAAATCAGAGTCACCTTGGACTTCACAGTAACCTTGTACTAGGCCGGTACTGTAGAAAGCACCCATGTCCTTGCAGAAGTCATTTCTAATTTCTCATTGCAATTCAAAACAGCATTTGTCGCAAGCTACATTAGTCAACCGCCACGCTTACTAGATGTTCTGCTTTGATTTTAAGAAATTTTAAACAAATTATCAGTTCTAACATCTCACCCTTTTGAGAAAGGATCATCTGAAGGATACATACAACACTGCTGCAAAAGCCAAGTCAATAACAAAACCAATATTCAAGTATATTTACTTGCAGTTTGAAAGAGGGAATGCTACTAGCGCTTCCAATTCAGAAAGAACACCCTCCCATCAAGGAAACTATTCCTGCTAGTTGCACTCACCACATTTTATGCAGCCTAGGAACAGAAGCCTTGATGGCACGTTTATTTACTTATGCAGGTAGAGCATTAGAAAACGTCTCCAACAAAACAGAAAACACACAAACATACAGAGAGGTACTTTTCTAAACCCACATAAGATGCAAGTCTATCTTCGTGTTTCAGCTAAAAAGAAAAGATTAGGAAAAAAAATAGTCTGATACATGCTTTTAGTGAACTTTGACATTATATTTAAAATCTAGTATAAAGAATTTTATAGAGTTGAGATGCAAGGAGGGAGTTCAACTAAACAGCTGTCCTAACGTAACAAACATTTTCCTCGGTACCTTCTGAAAAGTCATTTCTTCCAAAAGAAAATAACCAGTCTGCCAAGAATTACTCCTACTCCTGGCTCTTCTAATCTTTTAACTTTGAGGAAAGCTACACTTTGTACATTCAAAAACTTGGATCTGAGCCATCTCCTCCCCATAAGGACTCAAAACAAACGGACCCTCCGCAGCTGACTGAGCTTAAACTTGGAGAAGCTCGCTCTGAAGTTGCCGAATCCTAACGGGACACCGCTTGTCAGCCCGACTACAGCACAGACTACATTCCAACTCTCACTCCATCAATTTTCACAAATCTACTTCATGTTTAACATGAACTTGTCCTATTCTAGTTGTGTTTGGCTTGACCAGTGTACAGCTCAGCTCACAAGAGCTCCCACTGGCTCACCAACAGTAACTTGCCGAGTCACGGCAACTCCGTCCATAGCGATGGCAAAACAAAAATTGTTCACTCGGTGGCTGAACTTGTTTTAAATACGTCACACTAAGACAACAAAACAACCAGCACAAACGTGGTTTATTGCTTTTAAAAGGACTGGGTAAACTGGGATATCTTTCCAACGTTCTGCAAAACATCCGGAAATAACCACAAAAGTATTTATGAAGCTTTCATAGGTCATTCCGGCTACAAGGAACATTTGAAAAAATACAACCCCTGTGATATGCAAAATTAAATTCTGAAATGAAGGATTGATAATTAACAGTTTTGGTAGCTGGGTTTTTTTTCCTCCTCAGTTAAAAAGCTGAAGTATGGCAAAGTGTTTAAGTTACAGAAAGGAATCCATGAAATCTTCCAGCAGAACAGCAGCAAAAATAGCACACAACTCCGTTTGCATTCTGGCTTTCTCATCAAGATCCCTTCAAGATACCTTCAGACTGGTTTCATTTTAAAAGAACCTATTCATTGTTGCCTTTAAAAATTTCTATGAACACAGTTTGGAGTTTCAGGTACAACTGTATAGTCACAAGCAACCTTAAATACCTGCAAACCTCACGTTCTTAAATGGAAACACACGTACTGAGTCTGAAAGCTTGAAATATTTTAAGTAACATCGGAATACTCCAAAAAAACACTCATTTTTCAAAAAGCAGAGGGAAAAACCACACTAATATTTAATAAAATTGCTATCAGAATGCAAGATAGACTCTTGTAAGCCACAGTAATGACCTCCAACAATTGATCTGGAGTGATCAGTAACTTCTGAAATACCACACAGAATTTAATGGCTTCATTTCAGAAGGAAAGCGCGCTGCACGTAAGGAGTTGACGGTATCAGGAAATACTGAGGCATCTAACTATTTTCAAAAGAAAATGAGCTCGTCCAACTACACAAAAATAAACTGGAATATTTATTAGAGCTCAGAGAAACCAAACCCACGATACCCATAAAAACATTTCCACCTGATCAAATATATTAAATAAAGCAGCTGCACAAATTAGTTTTTCCAATTCTAACAACTATGAAAGGACTTCACGAAGCATTAAGAAACAGTATGAGACATACTAGTAGTGCCAGAGTTTCAAATGAAGGGTTTTACTCTAAAAATAGTTGTGTTATTTCAAGTGTTTAACCTGCTTGTATGCTAGGGCACAAGATATCTGCTTCTGGGAAGTTACAGCACAAAAGTTAACTCACAAGGTCAATAACTGAAGAAAACCCTGCTCTCACATGTCTCTGTTCTTTAACAGCATTGGGAGAATTATCCAGAATTTCCTTAGGAAAGCACTAAAATAAAACAAAATTGGCATTCTGAATTTTTTTTGAGAAGCAGTTGACTACAAAAATACTTTCAGAAAGCCTGTAAACATTTACACCACAGTATCCGTATTAATACAACACGATTACTTTCAAGGTCAGTATTACACACGCCGTTTCTTGGAGCTACATATTTTGGTGTTATTTTTAACATCTGATAGAGCATCTTGTACTGTTGCAAACTCTACACTGTTTACAAATACTCCCAAGCTGCAGCTGCTGATTCTACTAGTGTATCTTGCCACAGCAAAAAAAAGAAGAGTCACTTTAATTAGCCAGTAATGGCATTTTTTTACAGTACTATACGCATTACATTGTTCCGTAGATGGGGTTTGTAATTTTTTCCAACTTTCAACAACTACACAGAACAACAGGATTTGCTTACTAGGATATCCATTTCTAAAAAAGGCCAAAAAAGTCCAGGCACAGTTGGGAAACCTGTCTAACCCTGTTCAGATTATGAAGGAACTCTGCACGCTCGCTTAGCAGATGCTATTTCAGGAACTCCTACATGTGGTTTACTTTTCAAAATTCAAATGCGGAGATTAAAAAAAGAGCTGTTTCGAAATCAAATGTCAGGTTTACATTTTAATTCTTCATTATCCCAAAATACCTAAGCACAGGCATAACAGTATAAAGTAGCAGCGGACAACTTACCGACACAAGCATTTAAAAACAGCCAGTCAGTCTTTTTCATTCTATTTTTAATTTGCTTTAGTTTTTTGAAGTCGACTTCAAGTTCTTCCTTGCTGCCAACAGCTCCAGCCAACTCAATTCTTTGGAAGTCCATTTTGACATCAGATTCACGTTTGGTCGTAGGCGGAGATCTTCTTTGGCTATTACCACTACTACAGCTTCCTCTCCACCGAGCTCTGTCTTGCTCGTTTATGATCGACGAAGCCTCTTCTGTGTCTGCCAGTTCTATTGCTTCTATGTTGTTAGGTCTGGGATGATCACAGACAACACATTTCCTGGCCTTTGCCCAGTTTTCGTATGTACAAACAGAACAAGTCCAGTGCTGAGCCCTTGTGTTTAGTTTGTTTCTGTCATTATACTCCTCACACGGATCAACGGAAAAAGGGACCGGTCTTGAACCAGAACCTGAAGACTGAGGAGACTCCGTGGGACTCCTGGTCCTACGTTGAGACAAGCACTGAGTACATCGTATCGCTCTCGGCCAGTTCAAGTACGTGCACATGTGGCACGACCATTTATTTGCGCTCTCCATGCTGTAAGACGATTTAACCCTCGGCCTTGCACTAGAATCCGGGCATATCAAAGGACTACTCCCCCCTTCGGTGCTCGTAGGATCCCAGTCTCTACCGATATCACTTGAACCACTTTTAAATGGATCTTCCGTGATGATTGTTCCGCTGGGTCTCTGAGCGCGACACATGGTACATTTGATTGCAGACGGCCAATTTTCGTATGTACAATACTCACAAGCCCATTTAATTCCACGCTCTGTCATCGTGCACTTCTTGAAATGAACTGCGTCAGGCAGAAAGCTAATAATCAGAATGCACCGTTAGTACAATATGGTTGCACTGGAGCTTTATTTCAGGAAAAAAAAAAAGGAAACGAGATTTAACTCAGTTGTACCACACCAAATATAAAAATCAGGCTCAGCAAATTGGCAATCTTTCTTTCTTAATATAATTAGAGCATTTAGGGGAAGAAAAAACACTATGAGAAGGATAAGACTTGAGCCAGCAGCATTTTAAATGCAGAATTCGAGTTTTCTTAGTGCAGAAATGAAAAATCAGTCCTGTGTTTCTGGTACTTCTTAAATTTGCATAGAGGCTTCCAAAACAAATTCAGAAAGCAGATAGACATTTAAGCACTGAGAATACCAAAGACACCAGTACGGCTCCAGCAACAAGCCACAAATATGCAATTATTAAAACACATCTCAGTATGAATACAGCAGTACAAGAAAAGGAACATGAAGTCAAGATCCTGTGAAATCTATTACAAGACCTCACAGGATCTGGAAGGAAGGAGTGCATCAGGTGGGCAGGTATACTATTAGTAAGCAGTTCTTTTAGAACAGTAGGTTGTAGGAGTTTACATAAAACGCATACCTCTCAAAATTTTAGACATGTGCTTAACCAAGACTAGGCCTTGACTGGACATCTCTCCTAACAGCAGCTCATACCAAACTAAAATACCACTTGAAAGTGAGCACAAGCTGCACGTGTTGACAAGTTAATATAGTATTTTCAGTACACAAATCCAGACTCCAATTCAATTCCAACTCACTTTTTCTCTAACGAAGAGGTGATTCTGTCTTCATGCCGGCTCGGACCTTTTCCTCAGAGTGCCAAATATGAAGGATGAGACTAAGCAGATAACTATTCCTGTAAACAAAATGAAAACAGACTCATTATACGTTTCCTACTGGACCTGAGTAACCAGAAAGTTAATTATTAAATATGCCACACCTACGCTGATCCCAATTTACTTGTTTAAACTCAGTCATGACCTGCTGAGACTAACATACAGATCGGTCAAAATAAACCTGTATTTATAAAGAACCAGTCGGCACACAAATCAATCAGCCTGCTGAAGAACTAGATCCATGCAATGTCGAATTCACACCGAAGTATCTACAAACGCTTACTGCAACCTGAAACTTAGAATGGGGAAGGAAAAAAAAAAAAAAAGCTTTGTGTAGAGGGCATAATAGAGGGAAAGGGTGAGGCAGGTAGATAAAGGGCAAATAGAAAAATGTATACAGTCTATTTCCCTCCGTTACCACGGAGTAGTTATCCAACATACAAGATTCAATTATTTTGTATTTTTAGGCATGCAAAAACATTTAGAATACAAGTTTGTCAGATCAATTGTCTCAGAGTTCTCATTCGTAACATTACAGCTCTCTTGGCTAACAAAACCACCCAGAGTCTAGTAAACACTCAAAAGAAGTTACACAACAGGATTAAATTTAAAACTAGGCACATCCAAATAAAAATTAGTTTAAAACCCGCTCTCTAATTAGGCAAAGTTTTATGAGTTAGTACATTCCTTACTGAAATTCCTTCAGTCAGACCTTGCTTTACCAACACATAGCTAAACACCCACTCAAATTTGTCACCCTTATTCCTACTATCTCCCTTCTGAGGACTCCAGCACACAGCTCAGGTTTTTTTCCAACAGCTCAACTCTGATCTATTCAGAGACGAGGTGAATGAGGGGCTATCGCATGGCCAGGGCAGAGGAGAGGGCAGGACTATCCTTTTCAGCAGCAATCCATATTTACGCCGCAGGAAAGCAGATGAGCAATCAGGAACACGTGAAGCTTTTTCGGGTTCTACTATTACTTGTTCCAACAGCCTGCAGAGCACTTCACTCCCACCTGTATGTTATAAAACTGTGTCAGATTAAGGAATGTGCTGAGAAGGCAGTTAAAACTTCCCACTACTTCCCTCTCCACTGCTCCTCATACACATTCATGCCCATATATAATGGCGAAAATGGAGCAAGATCGTACTAGGGTCCCCGTATCTGTAATTAAACAAGCAAAAAATACAGGCAGAGATAGGAGAATACAAAGTCAGAGCGGTTTTACTAAAGGTGACTTCATAAAGACTTCTCAGAAGCTAAGGAAAATCTTTCTCCACTCCATAAACAAACTCAAGCTTTGTCAAAACATCTCGCTATACGCTAGATTCATCCATTCCATTGGCCAAGGCTTTTTCCCTCCAACGCCCAAAGGAAGTTTTTAACAACTTTAACCTTTCTTAACAAGCTCGGTCTCTCTATAAACAACAGAGTCCTCTGAGCTATTAATATTTCCTAGCTAGGAACACAAAACAGTTGAGCACGGTTTTCAGAAAAGAGAAGGAAGCAGCACAGCATCCGCGCACCTGCCAACCGCCGCCGACAGAACCGCCGAGAGCGGTTTCACTTGTGGAACAACCAGAAACTTGTGGAACAACCCGAAAGCGGCTGTTCCAATACTTCAACGCCCAACACGCGCTTAAGAATAAATTTCTACCTTAGCAGAAGCTGGTAGGTGATGGGCAGGTAATGCTTCCAAGCAAAAGTCAGCTCTGTGTAAGACATGCGATGAAGCCCCAGAGGGTAACTGCAAGTGGTCTCTTACCTACCCTGGTCTGTAAAGCCTTAAATCCAGCTGTTCACTCCGCAAACAAATCCCAGCCCACATTTGGGATGGGGCTGGAAAACAAAGCATCATCTGGTTTACTGACATTAAGACTGAGAAAGGAGATTGCTGCTCAAGTTGAAGAGCAGCTGGCTGCAAAAGCGATCTAAACAAACACTCAGATAGTATTTACGAAACTAAACAGAACGTACCGGGTTACAGAACAGCTTTCACGTATATCATGAGATTAGGTTTTTAGCTGCAATTATTCTCCGTGCCCCTTGAAAAGCTAGATGCTTTCAGACTTAATTCTTAGAGAGGCTGAGTATCTGCAGCTTCAAAAGCCTCTGAGATACAAGCTTACTACAGCCAAATATGAGGCCTCAAGCTTATTATGAGGTATAGAATATAAAAAGGCTCAATGGAGCAATGCAATTTCTCTTCTTTGACAGCTCTGCCAACATCCACTACAGCACAGCTAGATGAGGAAATCTAGCACTTCCACTTATTGACTTTTTTTTTTTTTTTAAAAAGACTTTTAGGTCTTGGTGTCACCCCCACCTGCATCTCACCCCACAGACACAAGAATCATCTGATTTACTGGTAATACAGGATCATCCTCCTGCCACTGAACAGTCTGAAGCTTGTTACGTTTTTTTCCTCAGAATTACTTCTTTGCTACTCTCTCTTGAAATTGTGGTTTTAGGCAGCTCAGCAGAGAAGCTGAATCATGTAGTACCTCCTCTCACCAACAAACAGCACAACAGTGACTATCAAGAGCTCAGGTGCATGCCTTAATTTCTTGTCTGCTTATGCTTTCTGGACATTAAACCCCAAAAAAACTCCAAGTAAGTTACAACTGATCAGTTTATAGAGTGTGTAAATACTTTCTGGACAGACTAGTAGCATAACTTAGTACGTTAGAGAGAAAAATGCATTAAATACTGAAAAATCAAGTATCGATGAAAAAAATCAGATCATCACTACTCTTTTACTAAACAAAGTCAGTCAAAAAGGTCGCCTAGAACAATCACAATTCTTTTGCTTTGTTTCAACTTTCAAGAAGAAAACACAAAATGGTACACAGAAACTGGGAAAAAAACTGAGGATTTCGTTGTTTCATGACAGGATATATTATATTCCCCCCAATCTAATCATTCACTGTGTCCAGAAGCTATTTTTCCTTTTGCCGACACGAGGAACAATACGGAGCACCATTTCATTAAACAATCAAGCCCATCCCCACGAACAGAACAGATGCCGATTTAAACCAGTCTACACGACATATTTTTGGCTGGGATAGCGCTGCCAGAAGCTTTATGTAACGATACCCATCAAATCAGTGGTCCCACCTCAACTCGTTTTGCTCAGATGTATGGATTTATATATATATATACATATACATATTTTTATTCTAATTGTTCCTGTATTTACAAGGAAAAAAGGAGCAAGGCAAAAAGAGATCCACCTTTCTTCCCCCCACGAGCTGCCTCTTGTAGGCTGCTCCACAAAAGAAAGGTAGGCTGGTTTATTTATTTCTATTTTAAAACCTCTTGGAGGAAGAAAATAAGGAGAAGTGTCTTGTTCTGAAGGAGAGAACTTTATCATCAAATGCAGAAACTATCAAATGCAACAGTTTATGGAGTGTAGAAGTAACACCTTTCATACATCCAACCACAAAAAGGAGCGAGGAGGAACAGGATGACGAGTCAAAGCAAAAGATCAAACAGCAGCACTTTCACTCACCGTGTGCTTTATGTATTACGAAACGTGGTGTGTTTAAGTGCACATCTACCCAAAAAAAGGGTCTTAATCTGGCAGATGTAATTGCTCGCTAACAGCTGGGTAATGTTGCTGCAAAGTTTAGACACACATACGATGAACAGCTTTTAAAGAAAAATTGCCTGTGATTAACCCTGTGTATTTTGACACATTTTCAGAAGCGTTCCCCCTTGTACGTCACTACCTCAAGTTCTCCTGCAATTACCAATAAAAAACTGGCATGCTTCTTAAAAAAATGAAGTTCATTTAATGCACAAAGCAGCTTTCTAATTAAAGCTGTAAAGGGAAAATCTGTTAAAATCACACATCTGGATTATCACCTTAAACAGTCATGAGAAAACAGGCACTAGCGTGAATTCAGAGCGCTGCAGTGCGTTTGTTCTGTACAACTGCAGAACGTTTTTTAAAAGATGCACAGATGAATTTGAGTCAACTGTCCATGGTAGAAAATAAAGCAAGGGTTTAAATTCACTGTTTTCAAACAAATGCATTTATAAACACAGCCACTCTGATGCTGACTCCAACCACCGTAGCTTTTTAAAGGCACTCCCCAAACGAAAATGTTTCCCATTTTTAAATACAGCCCCTAGGAAGGTCTAGGAGACAACAGAGCTGTACACTAGCTTCAGTCAAAACAGCCAATTTGTCCCTTTCAAACTCATAAACTCTCTGAAAACCTCCTCAACAACTTCTTGCAGAAAAGACACTCTATTTCAGTGGCTCAAATTCACTTTTGTTATCTGGGCCCAAGAATCCTTGTGAAGTATCACACTGTCAATACGCTTCAACAACAACAACAAAACCCCTTCAGTTTTTAAATAATCCACCTGAAATTCATTGCCAAGTATTAAGAATTGATTTCAACATGAGATTTGCCTTGCCTAAGTTTCCAACTAGGAATTTTATTCACGCTATTCACTCCACCATCAACTACAAACTATTCTTGCATGACTGTTTGTTCAAGAATTCAGCAAGAGCCTCAACAGACTGGTATATTAAAAGCCTAAAACATGAACCTAGGCTTTATAGTTTGAAGGGAACTAACAATAAGTTCCAATGTCATCTCTGCAAATGAGTTCTTTTAAAAAATAAATAAATAATTTAAGAACACTGACCTTGTCAATGGGACAGCCAAATCAGATCAGCACTGAGTCCGGAAGCTTTGCAGTAAGGACAATAACTAAGTATTATAATGAAGAATGGAAAGATTACTGCGAAGTCACAGACGCAGAAGCATTTTCTCTATTAGCCTGAATACACTGAAGCAAATAATTTAAAGAGTAAGCATAGTTTGCTTTGGTTGTTAGGACAGTCCTTTAAAAATGAAAGGATTCTGTTCCAAACAGATTAGCAAAAAGGAGAAAATACTCTGTCATCTCACGAGAAGAGCACTCTAATAGTCTTCTGCAAGCTGCTCTATGCAGTGGGCTTTTTTGCTTCCAAAATTTTTATTTCTTTGAAGGCCACTAGCTGG